AAATGTATGTAGTAATGGATTCTTGAGTAGTAGACATGATATGCACAGTAAAGTGACTATATGTACAGTTTTTAAAGCCTTTACATATGTCTACCTGTATGTCTATGCTGTAGCATTGTGTTTGAAAGGTTGCCTCATGTTTTACTAGACTGATACTAACCTGAGGGTCATCAGTATTGAGTTTTCCCTTTCCTAGAGTTAGTGTATTGATAGAATCGATTCTAAGTATGTCTAAGTATTCCTTTAATACCTCAAGGTGCACAATTTTATCATAGAGTAGCCATGTGTGATCTCTGGACTTCCATAGTACTTTGAACAAAGCAGTAGTCCCTTGTCCTGCATGAGTTTCAATTGAATCTACTGTCCATTCCTTGTTCTTGTTGTTTAATCCAGTAACTTGTCCTACTTCCCTTCCAGGGAATAATCTATCATTGTTTGGAACATGTATCCTAAGTAGTGATGAATGAAATACAGGGTGTATGTTATGATTCCTCATTTCCCTGGGTAGATCTAGTTCAAATGCCTCATTTCCTGTGTTCCAGATTATTCTGTAAGGTCCTATGTACTTTGGTACTAGTTTCCTCACTCACTGTCTCAGTAGATTCATGTTCTTTGTAGAGACATACACTAGATTGTTTAATTCAAATGAAGAGGGTTGTCTGTGTCTATTAGCATGTCTAGTTTGCTTTACCCTTGCCTGAAGGATTGCATTGTGTGCCTACAGTATTGTGTCCTTTACTTTCTGAGTGTAAGTCCTTACTCTAGGATATTCATCCTTCCTGGGGTTATTCCATATCAAGTTCCTTAGCATCTGACCATAATTTAGAAAGAATAGTGTATATCCTGTAGTTTCTGACCTTACTGTATTGATAGTGTACTTGATCATTAGTAGTTTATGTATCCAATCTTTTTGTTTAGGAGAAATACACTGTCTGAGCATCTGAGTAATTGTTCTGTTCATTCTCTCAGTCAATCCATCAGTCTGTGAATGATATACACTCGATAGCTTCAATTTAATACCTATAAGTTCATGTAATCTTCTCCAAAACGTACTGGTGAATAGGGAATCATGATTGCTAACAATGTAATTAGACAATCCATACAGTTTATAGACGTTCTCAAATACTATCTCTGTGATTTCTCTTGCTCTGTATGTTTGCCTAGTAGGAATAATGTGTACCATACCAGTTAATAAACAAATAACTGTACAAATCATATCAAAAGGTCCCAAACAGTTCTTTGATTTGGGAAAAGGTCCAACAAAGTCCATTCCTATGCCTTCCCAAGGCCTATTAGGTACTGAGAGCAGATGTAGTAAACCAAACAGTTTCTGATTGTTAGGTTTGCTGATCTTGCATGTATGACACAAATCACAGTAGGAATTAATGTCTATGATCATATCCTTCCACCAAACTTGTTCTCTAAGGTATGAAAGTGTCTTTTACAGTCCTAGGTGTGCCAAAATAGAATGTGTATACTCTATTACAATTTCCCTAGTGTTTCTGTTGTGTATTAGAATTCTAGGTATGCAAAGTATGTACCTCTTACCCTCCTAGTGAAATATGAGTCCATTTTC